CAGAGCCTGATATTTTGACACTACATACAGTCTATTGAGGAAAATCCACTTTTCACTATAAAGTGAAAAATTATGGTTTGTGGCTGTTTTGATATACCACATGTATTTGCATAGTTATACAGGAAATCGTGCCTCTGTGTTTTGGTATATATAAACACTAGGACAGGAAATTATGCCTTGCTAAAGGTTGTCTAGCTTTTCACACTATGACTGCACTAACATCTTTTTAACCCTGAGTTAAGGCCAATGTTAACAAAGAGTCAGCAACATGTAACGTTTTTAAACCTGGGTTATGAAACCCAGACTAAAGTACAGCAACAAAGGTTTAGAGTATGAATTACCAACCCATAATAAAGTATGAACAGCAATGTGAAAAATAACACTGGGTGAAGTCATGTAACACAGGATGTATATCATTTTTATCTTACTGTAAATTGCAATATTTGACACTAAGCACAAATACAAGCACCACTCATGCAACAGCTGGCCTTTCACACACACACTTTCTGCCAGAAACTTTGAAAGCAGTGAAGTGTCACAGAGCATGAGGCATGAGTAATTGGCTCATCATTGGTCATGTGTCCATTCAGATATGTGTCTGATTCATTAGACTCAGTACAATGACCTAGTGTGCCTCTAGTGCATGCCATATTGAACTACTGACGTCACGACTGCAAGCCAGCCATCCACAACTGTGTATTGCATTGTCATCCTAATGTGAGCCACTCTTTATATCACACACAAAGGAAATGGTAGACTTATATATTTGACGTAGTACAGCACTGTAATGTTAATTATTACCTTGTTACCGCACTTGGGGCTTCGTATTAGTACCAGTCTGTGTTTCTTCTTAAAAGGACTCTTTAACTCGTGGCAAATGTCGTAGTTGCCCAAGTCCAGTTTCTCTAGGCATGTTGTCAATTCCTGCAAGACAGGGAAAAATGTTCTAATTTGTAAAAGGATAAATCAGAGGAAAATTGTATTGCTCAGAGGTTGTTCAATGGCGTTTTATTTAAAGGAATAGTTCACCCAAATATGAATTTTTTTTTTCTTCCATGGAAAACATGGAGATAGTTAGCAGAATGTTCTCACTGCATTAAGGACTAAAATATTCAATGACTTGTGCACTACATTGCGATTTGTTGAGACTATATTTTTTAAGCTTTGTGTTAGGACCCAAAAACCCAAAAATCTTGCCTGACCACTGTGGTCACCATTCACTTTCATTGTATAAAACAGAGCAGCTTGGGCATTCTGCTAACTCCTTGTGTGTTATACAGATGAAGTGAGTAAACGGAGACAGAATTTTCATTTATTGGTATTACCTTTGTCTCAGATGCAGAGTTATTATCGTAACTAAAACTGAAACTATTAAAAACATTTTTGTTAATTAAAATGAATCTGAAATAAAATAAAATATTATATATCTAATATATTAGATAAAAAACAAAGTAAATAAAAACGACAAATGTCGACCTTAAATAAGAGCATTAAAATCACTAACTGAAAA